GTGATCAAAAGCAAATGGGTAGCATTGTTTTGAAAAAGTACAATACATATAGATAAATAAATATAAATTTTATTTACTTTGTTTTCCATTGGTTTGCCTCTCTGTGGGTTACTAAGATAAAAATAATTAAGTCCTTATCATTTAAGAGACATTTACAAAACTCGATAAACATTTATCATGTTAGATGTTAGATCAACTGTTAGAGCGAATCACTGTGCTGTTTTATTTCATTACAAACCTTCACAAGTCAACTGCTGAACATAGGCCTCCTCCAAGGTATGCCACCAAGCACGGTCCTGAGCCACCTGCATCCATAAACTTCCTGCATGACCAGGTATGTTTTATTTAAATGTTCCAAATTATGATTTTCTGTTTTTGTGTGTAATTATGAATTTTACTATAAAAGTAAAAATTACTGTAAATAATCTGATTTCTTTGAATATACTACGTATGTCTATTGGTCAAGCCCTAAAGCGTAACAGAGCAAAGTTTAACGACCACCACATGGCGCCTGTTTCAGTCCAGAATAAAATATGTCAGAAAAATTGTAGTATTTCACGCCTTCCATCTTTCCATTGTCCTTTTATTCTATTGATGAATACTATCGAAAGTGTGATTTTTTTTTAATAAAAGACCATTCGTAACGGAGCGCAAATGGATTTGGTGTGGTGGTTTGCTACTCATGCACCCTGGCTTTCCACGCGTGATTTCTGAATCTCAACAAAAGCGCCACCTGCCGGGTTCAACTGAGTTTTTAAACAATTCAGGGACCCACTCAAATACACACCAAACATTTTATTAAAATATTAGCGAGACTAACAATAGATTTTTATACATATATAGAGATTTAAAGAGTAACCACGTGGTTCAACAATCAAGACTACGTAAATAGAAAATGTTGGAGTAGATTCATTATGGTGCTATTTGTATACAAAACATCCAATTTATCGATTTGTTCATCCAAATATATTAAAAATTAATACTGTGGAGGCGCTGTCGTCATTATATATGAAACGTCATAAGCGCCATCGAAGCCTAAATCGCGCTATTAAAGTTCCGAAATGAAACAGTATATTATATAAAATAGCGGGTTGAAAACCTCGTCCGACGGGAGATCTCCCCTTTTCCTTCCACGGCCATAATACATTCCTGTAAGAAAATCATTTTGTAGCGGTTTCTACTACCTCGTATCGTCTCATGGGTGTTGTAAGAAGCGACAGATGCTAACGGGAACATTAAAGCAACAGCGTCTTCCTGTTAACATATCAAAATTAAAAAAAACCGTGGTTGCCACTTTGTCTGGCAGGAGTGGCAGCTATAGCAACTGATCCCCTTATGAGGCAATCTTTGAGAGGCCTAAGTTCAGCAGTGGCATTTAATCGGCTGTTATGATGGTGATGATGCAGTGACACTTTCCTCGTACTATTTTTTCATCATACAATAAATTGTATGATGTTAGTAATTAGTTGCTTTGAATGTAAACATTCAAAGCAACTAATTACTAAGAGATGAGTTTACTGATGACGAATCGTTCCATTTTAGCTGTCAGGGATGACAATGGATATTTATTTTGATTAAATCTTAATTAAACCGTCTTCAGTATCAGTTAAGAAAGTAACATAATTTTTAAAATTTTAGGCTTTTAGATTTGTGATAGAATTTTAGTATGAGGAAGTGTCGACGTATTAACTAATCCGAATAGGTTCAATTCAGCTATCCCTTGCTTATATTCTATATGTTGGACCACCCTGTACATGTACAGTCTCTAACATTATTGTTACTTTCGATTTAAAGTAATGCACACAGTCTACCGCATAAATTTTGCATCGTGTCACAAGTACCCAAACTCCTTAAAGATACTTAAATTTCTATTCTACGATACAACGATATTTTGGTGAATCTTTCAAGGTGGTCCCTTTGTGCAACATTCATAGCTCAGCGGGATCCGCAGTGTGCGCAATATAACTTAAATTAGCCTCTTTTGTGTATAACCGCCTTTGTATATTCAAAGGTGCGCGTAATTCCGAAGTGGTCAGCTTTTGCCGTGACGTAATGATTTATTTCTAGCTTCGAAATTTTCATGGCACGTGTTAATCTTGTAAAAACTAACTACTAAAATACAAAAAAATAAGAATTCTTTATATATTAAAGAAAAGAAGAATTTTTATTAAAAGAAAGAAGAAAACTTGCAAGGGAATCAAAAAAGTTTTGAATGCCCTCGCAAATTTTATGGTCTTAAGAAATCTAAAACTTTCAATCAAACAAGATGTTATTACATAATATAAAAAGTAACATTAAATAATATAATGCAAGTTTAATACTTGATAATTATTCAATAAATCATATCGAAATATTCAATATCTACAAATTTTGTGATATATTCGGCGTAATACTACATAAATATTTACAGTATCATGGTTTGCATACGCGATTACTGATCATGAGGTCCTGGGTTCAAACCCCCGGTCGGGCGAAAAAATTTAATTATTGAGTTTTTCCGTCAAGAAATTCTCAATAGCTGCCCGGAGTCAGGAAGTTGGCGGTGTCTCACTCCCGTGCCTCGGAAAGCACCTAAAGCTGGTAGTCCTGCGCTTAATCTCTCTCCGGTCATATCGGTTTACCGTCCCATCGGATTATGATAGTGATAGAATATAGAGTGCACCTGTGCTTGCGCATACACTTGGGCACTATAATCCTGTCCTGCGCCGATGGCTAGTCACCGTTGAGACTGGCCGTGGTGACCGAAATTCGGTCTGGAGGACATTATTATTGTGGGGTATCTATATAGTTTTCTCATCTGGTTGGGTTCTATAAATATATAATTATAAATGAGAATGAAAAGATAAATATACATAAATATCAATAACATAAAATAAATATAAAAATACTTAAATAAATAAAAGCCCAACCAGATGGAGGCCCTCGGCAGGGGAGACCAAACGGCCGAGGGTTAGGGGGGAAAGGGAAAGAAACCGGCGGACGATGCGGGCGGTATCGAGGAGCACCGCCTTCTGAATTTGAGCCCGGAGCGGTCCGCCACGTAGTCCCAGTCGCCTCAGATGACCCGAGAGGCTGACTGGGATTAGCCCGTTTGCAGAGACGACTACAGGAATAATTTCGGTCGGCAGACCACCCCACATGTCGGTCACCTCGTGAGCCAGGTCCAGATATTTTGTTTGCTTGTCTGTTTCGGCTTTCACGAGGTTCTCGTCATACGGAATGGTAATGTCGACCAAAAATATCCTTGACTGTGCCCGGTCCATCAGCACAATATCAGGCTTATTCGCAAGAATAGTCCTGTCTGTGATGATGGCCCGGTCCCAGTAGAGCCTGGCGCGGTCATTTTCGAGCACGGCTTCCGGCAAGTACTTGTAATACGGCAATTTCCGGTCCACGAGACCATATTTCAGAGCGAGCTCCTGGTGTAGAATTCTGGCTACTAGGGTTGTACCTGTGCAAGTACTCAGAGTTAGAAAGCGCCGAACAACCGGAGATAACATGCCTAAGTGATTCACCGGGATGGCGACAAGCTCGACAGACGTCGACGGTGCCATCCTTTAGGATGTATCTCCGATAGTTGTTGGTCTTAATAACCTGATCCTGTATTGCACAGACAAAACCCTCGGTTTCCCCCGAAGAGGTCACCGAAACGTAGCCAGTTGAGGGAGGCGACTGTATCTACGAAGGGCTCATGAAGAGCCCTGTAGTACCTCCCGTGGAGCTCCTTCTCCTTCCATACGGTCTCCCGGTCGGAAATGCTAAGCACTGCTGGGTCCTGCCATTGCTCGTGGGCTAAGGATAGAGGGGCAAGCCCTTTATCACTAGAAATGACGTCATTATAGAATGGATCATCCGATCTCGCCAGGAAGTAATCACGGAGGCTGCACACTTCGCGATTATGCATGGTGAGCGCGCTCATAAAACCACGCCCACCATGCTTTCGCGGCAAGTACAGCCTCATTACCGACGATCTCGGATGATGCATCCTATGGGACGTCATGGTAGTGCGGACTTTTCTATCCAGGGCGTTAAGTTCGGTCTGAGTCCACCTGAGTATGCCAAAGGTATATATGAGGACAGGCATGACCCAACCGTTATATGCGTGTGTCTTATTCACACCGGACAAAAGGCTGTTAAGCACTTTGGTCAAGCGTGCATAAAACACGTCGCAAACTGACTGTTTCACACCAGCCTCATCGATACCGATGTTCTGTGACATACCCAGGTATCGGTATGTTTCAGCCTCGGAAAGGGTCTTTAAGTTGACGGGCATAGATAAATCTATGCCCTCAGAGTTAGCAACCCTTCCCCTTTCAACATGAAGGACCGCACACTTATCCGTCCCCAGCTCCATTCCAATGGAATTGCTAAATTCACAAGTGATGTTTAGCAATTCCATAAGATGGGAGCGACTGGAGGCGAATAACTTGAGGTCATCCATATAGAAAAGGTGGGTCACTTTTGTTCCTCCTTTCCGTAGCTGAAATCCTCTCCCGGAGCCCTCCAGTAAGGTACTGAGAGGGTTCAGAGAGAGGCAGAACCAGATTGGACTCAGACAATCGCCCTGGAAGATACCCCTTCTTATCCTTATGTGGTTCTCCGCAGCCATCATCCGCTCGCCCTGATAACAGAGGATCGTACTCCACTGCCCCATACACTGCTCGAGGAAGTCTCTAACTGTACAGTCAATCTTGTACAGCTCGAGGACCCTCTTTAGCCATGCATGGGGCACCGAGTCGAATGCTTTTCTGTAGTCTATCCAGGCGGCGGAGAAGTTCCGACGGTTGCGTTTTACCACTTTGCCAATGACCGCGTCAATGAGGAGTGGTTCCTTGGTTCCACGACCACCGCCCCGACATCCATTTTGATCGCGTGACATCACCTTATTTAGCTCCAGGTGACGAGTGATTCTCGCGCTCAAAATGGATGTCAGTGTCTTATATATAGTGGGTAGACACGTGATGGGGCGGTATTTGCTCGGGTCTGTGGTATCCTGATCTTTAGGAACCAAGTGAGTGATCCCAGTAGTGAAGAGGCTCGGGAGCGACTTCTGATCGAGAGCCTCTTGATACTGTCGGGCGAGCACAGCGTGACACACTACGAACCCCCTTCAGCCAGTAATGATGCAGTCCGTCGAGCCCCGGACTTTTCCAGTTCGGGGCCCTACGGACCGCCTCAGCCACGTCTTCAGGCGTTATGGTGACGGGGTCCATAGGCGTAACACTTGCACTCCGGCTCGCCACAACTTCCATCCAAGGGCCCTCGCTGTGGTTTACGGGCTCTGACCACAGGCCACGCCAAAATGCGACAGTGTCAGCCTGATCCGGTCCTGGGCCCGCTCCACATACCTCTGGTCGCTCCAATGATTTATAGAGCCTCTTCTGATCACTCTGGAAGAGACGATTTTGGTTGAACCGCCTTGACCTCTCGCTAAATCGTCGAATCCGCTTCCCCCAAGCAGCGATTTTTTGCTTCAGGTCATCTATGCGCTCCGTTAGTTTCTGCGTGATATCCGGCTGGGACAAACTAATATTTGTCCCAGCAAACGCCATTCTAACGGTGCGCACAACTCTCGGTCTAATATTACCCGACCTGAAGCTTGTCAGTCTGCCGATAAGGGCCCTTGCCTTTGCGATACGGTCCTCGATTCTTTTTCTCCAGGCTGGGATGGCACTACCTTGTTGAGTAGCACGTCCAGCCATGGGAAGTTTGGCGCCAATAATACGGCATACTGCCAGTGCGGCGCCAAAAAGAATAGAGTCCGTCTCGCAAAGGTCCCGGCTGGCTTCCAAATAGGTCACCAGCATTGGGTTAAGAGCCCGCACGACAGCCCGATTTCGCTTGCTAAGGGGTATGCGGGGGAAGTCGCGGTCGATTTTCGAGAGGCATGCTGCGCGTTTCCAGCATCGACTCTTCCAATATGCTCCTCATTTTCTCTAGTTCGTGGGGGACTATTCCATCATCGTCTGAATCAACTACAAATGGAATATTGACGGCAGCGTCCACATTTGCAGTTTGCTGCGCAATTAGTGGCGCCGCATTCCCAGCCGTAGCATTTCCATCCGATGAGGGAACAGCCTCACGTCGTAGTCGTTCGAGTTCGGCGTCACCAAATATGTTGGAGCGCAGGATGTACCGAACTCGGTCTGCCAGGTTTTGCTCATTGACGGATAGAGATGGCTCCAGCTCTGCAAAAAAGCGATGCATCCGAGCCCGATATGCCAAACATCCGGTTTCTTCCCCTTTTTGCCCTAAAGTACGCCCGCAGTGCGTTTGCGTTCATTGTTTGTGACCAACGCATGCGACGTGCTCCACCAGCGGCGGGTGCCGCTTGCTGAGTCCGAGAAGACCCAGCCGACACCAAGCCTTCTGGTGGGGATGATGGATGCGGAGGGCTGCTAGGTGATCGTACAGCTCCTCGCGCTCGGCTGGCGGCCCGCATGCTGCCGCGTCCAGCGCCAGCTCCAGACGCGCCCCGGCGACCCCCAGGCAGCGGCCCTATGCGCGTTCCTCTTTGTACCATCATCCATTTATGGGCGCCAAATAACGGGAGACGCCCAAGCCCGGCACCGTTTCGTGGTTCGGTCTTATGCACAAACGGACCTTTGCACCCACAATTTTGCCTAGGCACGGCGCTCACACCTCTTGGCAGGGCGCTGACTGACTGCGCCGACGTAGTAGTTTTGTCACATAACTGTTACGTCAGCGGGCGATGGGGTCGTCACTTCCCTACGCCTTTACATTATTATTATTATTATTATTATTATTATCGTTTAATAGCCGTGTAAGAATATTCACTACTCCATATCGTCGCGTGGGTTTTGTAGGTGGTGACTAAGTTAAACTGAAACAGGTTATGGGGAGCAGATAACCTAAAATAATAAAAAAGCAGTTGCCAACCCGCTTGCGGAGCGTGGCAACTGTGGCAAAATCTACCCTATGTGGCAATTTGTGGTAAGGCCTATGTTCAGCAGTAGACTTTTATACTATAAAATACATAGTTGTAATGGATAAATGATACATTTATATTAGAATTTGCAAGGCCTAATGATTAGAGTACCCATACAAATTATCAAAACCTTTAAAGACTGTTAACTTTTAACAATGGTTTTTCTATTTCTTCCTTTTTGTAACGTAATTTCTGGGACTTTCTCATAGTACCTACATGTTAAACATGGGAAAGTAAATCGCGTGTTATCAAAATGTGATATCACCCGGTCTTATACACCACGTACAATTACATTACAATAGGTACATCACATAATATTACCCGAGTTCAGAAAGCACCACACATCACACATTTACGCGCCCGCCCGTATCCATTTAGGCCCGTACTTACAATACTGTTCGCACGAGTCTGTAGAATTTAAGTTATATATGTACGTGGTAGAGCCATGCAGCACGGATGGGTCGGCTCGACCAAAGAATAGCAGCTTTATACTGTTGTGTATAGCATAGTGAGTGTAGAAGTGAATAGAGAGTTGTCCACAGAGGTGACAACGCATCTGTATATTGATTCTTAATCGAGGACAGATGACACATACACGAGTATACAGTATACCTGATGGTAAGTGGATGCTGTAACCCATAGACATCTACATCTATCCTTGATTAAGATTCAAAATGCTGATGCGTTGTTAACCCTGAGGACTAAGATAGAATGCCTCGTTACCAGTAAAAATGTTCTCCCATTCTCTCTACACTCACCATACGAAACACAGCAGCATCAGGCTGCTATTTTACAGTGGCATTCTGTGAGAGCGTGGTTCCACCACGGTCGAGCCGACCCACTCTTGTTACAACTATGTAACTACAGGATGGCTTACCACGTTAAAATATATAATCTAACTTTATCTAATCGGTAATGTATAAGCCACAGCATCCACTTAACAACAGGTGGACTGTGTGCTCTTTTGTCGGCCTTGTTCTATAAAAAAACAATTTGATCCACAGCCTGGTCCGTCCATAAACAGGATACACTCTGCGCAAGCATCGTTAGGATTTGGAGTTTTTCTCCATTGAGGAATTCCATCTTAGTCATCAGATATAACCATATATCTGTAGCCTTTTTTGAATGAAGGTGGTTGCAGTTTTCTAAGAGCTGCAGAAGCTATTACCATTAGGTTGACTTTGAATTTGAGACTTTTATTACTTCCATTTATAATAAAAACTAACTTATTCCCTATTACACTCCTCTCCAAAACATGGAGAAATATTAAATAACAGTTTATTTCAAAATCAAGATTTATTCGTTTATAATATAATAATACTTTAGACATTGCAATACCCATTGAATTTTTATACTATTTGTAAAAGACACCATTCACACTGCATGTGCGTGGGCGCTGGTTAGTAAACAGGCTTTGAAAACGCCGCCGCCGGACTCACGAGGCACGTCCTATATCTATGTATTCACTATACGTGGTAAAGTCACGCTGCAGCTATATTACAGTTATAGCACCAAAGGTTCGGTTCGACTGGGATCGGACGAGAGCGCATCTCACAGAATACATACAAAAATAGCAGCTTTATGCTGTTGTGTTTCGTATAGTGAATGTAGAGTTAAGACACTTAACTGGAAACGGGGCATTCCATCTTAGTCCTCAGTGATAACGCATCTACATTTTGACTCATAATCGTAGATCAATGTAGACGTCCATGGGCCACACCATCCATTTACCATCAGGTGGACTGTGTGATCGTTTGTTACTCTTATTCTATAAAAAAAACCTGCACAAGAAATAGTACAAGAAGTTTGTAGGGTCTAGCATTATGTATGATATTAAAAATAACCTTGTTATTTAGTGATGATTTGTAAGCAGCAAAAACAACCAATAGTCAAATTTACGTAATTCAAGAACAGTGATGAGTTATTCACCATGTTACTTCATTATAAATTCCATACTAAATACTTAACTCAAGATGTCTTGAAATTCTTATTACAGGTCGCAACCACATAGTGATTCGGCACTTAGATTTGCCAAACAAACTATCTCCATATATGTGATCTTTTACCACAGATCCGTTATGTTCTGTAACAATTGCATTAAAATTACCAATATCTCTTTATTTTTGAATTATTGAGTTTTTTTTTTAAATAATCTATCCTTATCTTGAGCATCCTTATCTTTATCACCCGTAAATCTGTTGGTAGTCTATCTCATAGAAGCGAGGACTTGGTTGGAACATGTTTACTTGTTACTTTATTGTATACTGTCCATGTGGTTTTAGGTAAAGCTCGACAAGACGCTTGTTACAAGGAAGCAAAATCACTTTTGTTCAGAGACTGGTATTGCCCGCACTATGCATCAATTAGCTTGTACATTATACCGGATTCACCCGATAAAGTGGAAATTAAATAATTTTAGGCAATATTTAGTGTATCGCGTGAATCTTAGAAATGTTATGAAAAAAATCGTACAGAATACTAATTGGAACTAATTTTTCTTTTATTAATAGTTAGCACACAACTTTGCCTCACGAAGAACTAATACGAACGCTAACCAAAGCCTTTTTTTTTTTCAAAATAATAACGAGCGCACGGTCCACCTAATGGCGAGACCACGGTGAGACGGCAGTTTTCCTCAAAAGCCCTCCAAGATGTTTAATAAATTTTTTTTTTGGTATTAATGATATATAATGTTTTAATGAACAGTATTTTACGACATTATATGTAGCGTGAACTACCTCATAAAAGAATATTTTATAAGACTTGTTTAAGGAGTGAATTACTGAATACTGGATACATTGAACCTTTCGAGCAGTATCACTACGAACTCCTTAAATCCTACCGACGGAAACAAACAACGGCGCTCGACATTTCAAACAGAATAATAATTAACGAATTGCTGTATGTGTGCTTAATCAAGTTCAAATATTAGCCCGGTCACGGCAATTACTTGGGCGGAGACACCGTGACCCGGCGACGCCGTGGTAAGGGTGACCACGTACACTACAAAGTTTATGTATAATTGTATAGTGACTTGACTACAGATGACACTTTTAATTTTAACGACGTAGCAGTTGGTTAAAGTGTATAAGAATATATACATATAGGTCACTTAGCATATTTACAGGTCGAAGATAGTAAACTTGTTAATTTATAAAGTTGTATTTCTTCGTATTTTATAACTGGCAAGGAAATGCCAGTTATAAAATACGAAGAAATACGACTTTATAAATTAACAAGTTCACTGTCTTCGTGGTCATCACGCAGAATATTTTTCTTAATGACAGAACTCTTTGCAATCTATTAAGCAATTACTCGTAGACGAGTTCGTTGACAAGGCTGTTAATAAAACAAACCGAATTAACATATAGGACATCGACGTAAATAAATTAAAAAAATACACTTTTGAGCATTAAAATACCAGAAACAACTTTTATTATAGGATTAACTCATGTACTAACTTCTCTGTTTTCTTCATTCTTTATTTATATACTCGTAATATTTAAACCAACCATTTTTGCAAATCTGCTTATCGAAATAACTGATTTATATTGAGCTGAAGGGGTTAAGCTTTACGTCTTAGTGTAGGTAAGCTTTATTTCTCAATGGCATGTAAATAAATACAATAACCGTTAACCACCAATTTTAAAATGATTGTCTGTATGTCCACCTGCCCGGGCTGATCTTTGGATATCTGAATCGATTGTAATGAAGCATCATGAACAGATAGAGAGAATTATCAGGAGTAAATTATAGTCTATTCCAAAAAATTTGAGATTTTTTTGAAAAAAACGAATTTTGATAAAATAAATGGTCTTTGTTTAACTTAACTAAATAACGCCACATTAAAAGATCTTA